GGGGGGGTTGCATGTATGCTTGTAAATATGATTCTTTCTAGCTTAAGATTTTTAAAAATTCTCAAAACAGTAATTTTTACTTTTGCATGCAATCTTGTTTTACCTATAAGAAGTCTGCACAGAAACAGCTCACGTATCGGCATAACTTGTTCGGTGCTAACGAATTCTTGGAGCTTAATACCCTGTGAACATTGCCGATTTGATACAAAAGACAGATTTGATGCAGTAGAGGCAGTCCGATTTTCTTTCTTGGAGGGACACAAGCGACTACTTTGGAACACTTTGATCAAATCCTCAAAAGTTAAACTTAACTTTTTATCTAAGCCATGGATCTAGTAGTAGTAGTATAAGGTTTTACGGCGCTCGCAACTGCTAAGGTCATATGAGCGCGCTGCCATGGATCTGATGTGTCTAATGCAAACAAACGATCAGAAGAATACTATGCATTGCGTCGTAAGATCTTTTGCTTGCGCACTGCATGCGAAATAATATATCCTTACGGGACGTCTCGGCCAAAACTGATGAAGCAAAGCAGAGGCTAATTTCATATAGCGTGTATAAGAGCCACTATTAACCAACTTATCCTCAAATGTATCAAATATATTACATTTGTCGAAAGTACCAAATAGGCAATGTGCGCTGAGCATAACGTTTTGAATTTTCTTTGCCTTACTGGATGGTTCAGAAATCCCGGGACTCGGAAACTCGTAGTTCTACAATAGACAATAAGCAGTATCTGACTGCCTCCAGAAAAGCAGGTAGATCTAGAATCTAGTAGAAATTAAAAATTATTCGAAATATTTACCTGGAAGGATTTTTCACCTCCTCAACCAGAATGTTGATGACGTCACTGAAAGTAGATTATTGGATATTATAGCACTTGTTGTTTCCATTATGATTTGTGTTGAAATGATTATTGTTGTGGTAGTCGCTACAATTGTGTTGTTGACGAGGAAGATAGCAACAAAGATGATGCTCATGATGATGCTGAAGATGAAGCTGGTGATGATGCTGATGATGATGATATACGATCCAAGGGTAACTTCAGACAGCAAATGGGTAAAGACTTAAAGTTTAGCTTATAATTTAGACCCAAACACCAAGTAATGGGGTGCGACGTTGGGTAATTCTGTATTATGCAGCGGGAATATTGGGTGGATGACGCTGATCCGAAACCTTAACAGTACATTCATGAATGCAGTCTACTGCTATCAGAGACAGACACTGTATCAATCATTCTGCCAAAATGTGAACCTTACAGTATTAAAAGGAACATTAAGCCGTGCCCTATCACACAAAGAGAGCCAGTGGAGCTATATCAATTATTAGATTGAACCCAGTACATATAAACAATAAAGAACATTTATGTAGAGTATTCAGAAGAAACCTTCCAAACATATTCTAGGCTGCCGTCGTATCGACGAACGGAAATTAAAAAAGAAACGCCGCATTTCGTAGATAATCTGAGGAGGTAAATACC